CGCTGGCCGGCCCCCGCTTTCGCATGTGGCGTGTGCCTCCTCTGGGGCAGCTCTTGCGTGCCGTGCTCTGCTTCGAGTGTCAAGAGAGACCGTGGGTATCAGGGAGTTTCCCGGCACCCTACTCTGCGAATAGAGGGGGTTTCGACGCAATTGAAAGGACTATGGGGCGGACGGGTAGGACACCGAATATGGCGTGAGGGCACCTAGCATGTCTCTGATCGTACCATCAGCTCCCCCTTCCTTACTACTCATGCATACCTCGTCTTCTTGAGATATCCATTCAGATCGTCATCTCCCTCCTCCCCTCTCCTCCCTCCTTCAGTCGTGGGTAGAGCGCTCAACAGCAACGAGGGAAAAGAGGAAACAGCAGCCTTGTTGCCAGTTGGGAGCGCATTGATAATTCCCAGTGGCTTATTGTGGCCTCTCGACGGGTCTCTTGGCAGGGCGGTGGATGTATCGTCTTGGGGTCTCTTGTGGCCATATGGGCGGTCTTGGTCGAGACCGTTTATAAAAGTTTTGCGCCTCAAAGGGGCTCACCAGTGTCCAAGGGATCGGCCCACTCTTTTTTCACGTATGTGGCCTGCGTTAGCAATTCAACAGCAATTCAACAAATTCGGGCAGAGTTTCAAATTGCATTGTTTTCGCGCTGTGGCAAAAATGCTGAACATGATTGCCATGAGCCTAGCGCGCGCAACACAGCAGCATACACTCGGCGTCACCCAACATACTTATACTAGATGTGCGTCGCCCCCTCAGGGGCGACGCACGCACAGAGAAATCTTATAGTAGATGTGTCGCGGCGGGCTCTTTCTGGCCACACCGCTCGGGAAAGGATCTACCACAAGGTGGGTGTACTGTATGTTCGGGTCGGACGCGCGCCTCCAAGCAGAGTGCAGTCGGGACAGTAGGACTTCGCGGGGCCAGCCCTGCCACCAGAGTGATCATCTGCTACGGCCCTCGCACGTCGAGGAGTGCACCGACGCGCACGCGAGGCCCGAGCGCCGCGTGTGCAGAAGCGGCCATGAGCAAACGGTGAACTGATGCGGGGGTGGTGGTGCGTCTCCTCCTCCGCCGCCTCCGGAGGGCGGACCAAAGGAAGCCCCGGGGCCTTTCCTCCTCCTCCTCCTCCTCCTCCTCCTTCTCTTCCTTTTCCTCCTCCTCCTCCTCCTCCTACTCCCCTGCCTCGTTGTCCCTCTCGTCCTTGCCGTCCTCCGGCCGGCTTGTGTCTCCGATCTCCCCGCAGGGCGCATGCGGGACAGCCCGACCTCTTTCGCCTGCTTCGCTGAGTAAGTCATTCCCCAGACGGACGGTGCCCGTCCCTCCCTGGGCACTCTTCGGCGGCCAGCGAGGGGGGGAAGTGGGAAGGAGGAGGCCTTCTCAGAAGGCGGCGGGGCTTCTCAGAAGCCCTCCGGCCTTTGACAGGTTCCCTGTGCCTTCGGAGAAGGCTCAGCCAACTTCTCAGAAGGCCAGGGGATTTCTGAGCCTTCTGTGAAGGCCCGCCTGGCCTCACTTCCCCACTGGGGAGACCAAAAGGCACCTCTCCGGGGCTGCGCTCTGATCATGATTTTGAGGCGAATCCGGCGGTGGCGACGAGTGCCTCCCAGGAGGCCCCAAAAAGGGAAACAACGAGGGAAGCGTAGCGGTATGGCTACCTCTTCTTCCTGCGACAGACGGGCGGTGCCCGTCCTTCCATGGGCACCGCGCTGCGTCGTTGGCGCCTCCCGCCATGGACCACCGGCGCGCCGCGGGGGGCCCATCCGGCGCCCGCGGCTGCCGCAGCTCCTGGGAGGTTCGTGGGCGCCCAGCGCCTCGTCGTCGTCCTCGTCGTCGTCGTCGTCGTCGTTGCCGTTGTCGTCGTCGTCGTCGTCGTTGCCGTTGTCGTTGTCGTTGCCATTGTCGTTGTCGTCGCCGTTGTCGTTGTCGTCGAATCGCACAGACTTTCTGCGCTCAGCGCAGATTTCTTGGATCTGCGCTGGCCTCCCCTCTCGGCGCCTCTGGCACCGCCCACGGCGCGCTCCGCGCGCCACGGAAGAGGCTCCAGCACAGATCTACGGAATCCACGCGAACCTCCGAACATGTGCTTACGCAGTGTTCGGCGGCGAGCGAGGGGGGGAAGTGAGAAGGAAGAGGCCAATCAGAAGGTTCTAAGCCTTCCCCGAAGGCAGATACAGCCTCTCAGCATGCGAGAGGGCTTCAGAGAAGTTCCGCCGCCTTCCGAGAATGCCCCCTCCTCGCGTCCCTCCCCGTGCTCGCCGCCGAAGTTTGGTTGTCCCTTTCACCTCAGTCGTCTTCGATGGACCCGGCCCAGGCGGTGCGCGATCTGAGCCCCGCGGGCGCGCGACGCGGAGCGCCCGCTCTCCGCGCACCTCTGCTGCGCGGCCGTGCGCGAGGCGCCGCGGCGTCCGAGGGCGGCCAGGATCGCGGACGCGCCCGGCGGCCGAGCCTTCAGTCGGGTACGTCACTCCACAGGAGAAGCGTTCAAGAAAGTATAAGAGAATGTCTGGGGACGAGTTCCTCAAATAATGTTGGAGAATTCCTGAATTCGGGGGGTTTAGTTTAGCTTTCGCCCAAAATCCGCCCGTAGGGGGAGGCGCCCGACCTGAGCCGAGCCTGGTGAGGACAGAGCCGCGGAGCATCCTCGAGGGGGCCAAACCCGGAGGTTGGTCCGTGCAGCAGGTTCGACGGATCGCAGAGCGCGGAGCGCGGATCACGTATCGCGGAGCGCGGATCACGTGGCGCTCAGTTCGCGAGCCCATGTTGTAGGCGGAGGGGAGGAGGGAGCCAACCGTGGAGTCTGGGAGACACAAGGAGGAGGTCGCGCGCTAGGCGGCCGAGTCAGGTGGGGACAGCCGCGGAGCATCCTTCATGTGGCCAGCCCGAAAGGGAGGTCGCGCGTTCGGCGGAACCTTCGTACCAAGGCAGCCGGCATACCCCATGCTTTCGTCTCCCCGGCGCACTGCCGCCGTCGGCGCTCGCAGGAGCGCCAGTTGCGGCACATGCGCACGCGGAGTGCATTGTTGTTGGCTGTTGTTGGCGTCGCAGAGTGCAATAGCGGGGCCATCTTCCGCTGGTGCGACAAGGAAGGGGGCGTAGCAAGCCGACCAAGAGTTCCCTGGTGAGCCCCAACAGCGGGGTGCTGCGAGGGGTTGCAGCATTTTCGGGCCCGCGCAGCGGCGTGGGCGGCGGCTAGTGGCGAAGTTAGTTGGTCCTGGATGCGTTGCCGCTGCCACCCGGGAATGGCCCGGGACCGGCAGTCGCGTACTCTTGTTGGCAGGCACGTCCGTGTGAAGAAACTATCGAAACCACGCGGCGCGCCCAGTCTGTAGCAACCAAATGATGGCATTCTCATAAATTCTGGAGGTCCGCGCGGATTCCTTGGATCGGCGTTGTCGGCGGCGCTTCTGGCGCCGCCCGTGGCGCGTTCCGCGCGTTCGGGAGGGGGGGCCAACGCCGAGCCAAGGAATCCTCGTGGACCTCCGACACTTCATGTCACATCTCTGCCGTTTTTTTGTGTTCCTCGAGGAGCAGAAACATATCGAAGCCTTGCCGCACGGCGAGGACGCGTGTATTTCGTGGAAGGGCATGGAGCTCCTCCCGATTCCTCTTCGCTGCTCGTCGTCCTCTTTCTCCTCCGCCTCCTCCGCCTCCTTGTTGCATCTGGCGTTTTTCCTCTGCCTCTCCCTTCTCTCCGTCGCTTCTGTTGCCTGCTCCTCTCCCCACTCTTGGGGCGGGATCGTCCCTCGCCGCGCCGCGTCCGCAGGCCAGCAGGGCTAAGAAATCTCGGGAACACGTGCTACTTGAACGCCGTGATTCAGGCTGCTCGCCTCCACGGATCGCCTGTCTCCTCCCAGCCCAATCCTCTCCCCATCCGACCCTCTCGCCCCCCGTTCCCCCATGCCACATGGCCTCATAGCCTCGGGGAAGTCGATTAATGGAGAGGAAGCATTCTGCTAAATAACTTCAAGATGTCTAGAATATGTTTTCACTATGGCTTACAGATGTTAAAATCATGTTCGACACATTTTTATAACATGTTTTACACATGTTAAGCACACCTTTAATTCAATGATAGGATTGTTAGAGTGTCCAGTGTCATGGCATCCACGACCATAGCCCTTGCCCCCCCCATCTCCCGCGCCTCCCCGCCTCCTCATCCCATTCCCACTTCACCCTTGCACGGCTCCACTCGCCCTGCTCCCCGTTCCCGCTCGCTCCTCTCTGGACCGAGTCTGCTCCATAGATCTCGCCGAGTGGGAACTCGGACACCGACCTCGTGGAAGCATGGCGTTTCGAGGAGGGGGGTACAATATCTGATCATGGAGGCTTCCCAGACCCCCTCGCGTCTGTGAAAAATTAACGACGGGAAGTGTTTTTCTAGTTTTGACCTCCAAGGGCCCTTGCCAAGCCTCGGGGCCGTCAAATGACGACTCTAGATGAGAAGCCGGTCCTTTGGAAGGGGTCGAGACTCGGACAGGGCTAGGACGAGGATAAGTCCGTTCCAAAGCGTTCCGGAACGCTCTCAGAGCCTTCCGGAACGCTTTGAGAAGGCCGCGGCGCCCGAGACATCCATCCTCCAGAGCCGCCGAATCTCCGAGATTTTCGATTCATCTCGGAAATTGGAGCATATTACCAGTGGCGGGCGGTTTTTCAATCCCAGGGATTTTTTGAGGGTCGGGGACGACGTCGGGGTGGTGTGGTGTATACATTTTTCCCCGTTTTCCTTGGAAGCGACGAAGAAATTTAATGTATACACCAGGATCCCGCACACACCAGGATCCGCTTTCCTGTGCGAGATTCCGTGAGAGGCCAGACAGAGGCGTCGGTGTATAGAGTTCGGCCCCGTATCATCCTCACCCGAATTTGTATCCTCGTCCTGGCTTCGTCTTGTCGAGGCCTCTGGGGGTCGACGTCGTCAGCAGAGGTCGTGGCGTCGGGAGTCTGGGCAGGGGGGGCCCCGTGCCCTCGGCGCCGCGCAGGCCGTGTGCTCCCTCCAGGAGGTCATGGGGGCGCTGCAGGTCGAAGGTCAGAGGGGAGGAGGGAGGAGAAGAGCAGAGGAGCAGACAGGAAATGGAGGAGGAGTAGGAGGAGGAGGAGGAGGAGGAGGCGGAAGAGAAGGAGGAGGAGGCCAGAGGCCAGAGGGGAGGAGGGATCGGGCCAGACGAAAGGGGGGGATTGAGAAAGGGGGGGGTACGAAATCTGCTGCATGCAGCTGGTTTCGGCCCCACCGCCAGGCCCATTCCTCGATACATGTTCGCCTCCTAGCGCCGGAAGGCGCCGGGAAAATCAGCTACGTGAGCTGAGTCTCAAACCCCCCCTTTGCTATCCCTCCCTTTCTCCCGGCCCGAGAGGGGCAGACTGGAGGTGGAGAAAGAGGAGGAGGAGGAGGAGGAGGAGGAGGAGGAGGAGGAGGAGGAGGAGGACGAGGAGGGCGGGACGGGGGACCGGACCGCCCCCTCCACACGCCATTGGAACCCACGCCACTGGACTCCCCCCCCTTCCCCTCCCCCCACCCCGGCAGAGCCACCCTGGTCCCCCCCCCTTGAACTCACACGCCGGATCGGCGGATTTGCTTTAGTAGATGTTGCTTAACGGCAGCGTTGTTCCCGTTTCCACTGCGGGTTCCGATTCGTTTTTTCGTTGTCAGTGTGCCATTGTGTGTCAGTTTCCACATTTCCATCGGAGGTGTTCGGTCATGTTGTGCACCCAAGCTAGGACCTCCCTGCATCCCTCACTCGCCGTCGGGGGAGGCGCCTGGAGCGGAAGAGACGCTGCCGTCTTCGACGGGCACGGGTTTGAGCGACCCGTCTGGGCACGTTATGCTTGGTCAGCGCTGCCATCCCGAGGTCGCGGCCCCAGCTGGTCAGGACCGTTGACTGAGACGGCTCCGTCGGGGGATTGAAGCAACATGCTTTGTCAATACGTTGGTGGTACGTCTTCAGCTCACGTGCGAACCGCCTCCCCAAAAGATCTCCTTGAACCCCATCCCCATCGACGCAGCCGTCTCGGTCAAGGGTGCCAGCCAGTAGGGCCCGCGCGCTCTCGGGGTGGCAGCGCTCACCAGACGAACACAGAGAGCGGACGGGAAGAGGAGCGGATGCAGACGAGGGCGCAGGCGGGGTCGAGCAAGTGCCCGTCGAGAACAGCAGCTCCGCCTCCGCTCTGGGCGCCTCCTCCGACAGTGACTGAGGGGGATGTCAACGCCCCAGTTCTGCTCGGGAGTGCCAGTTTGTTTTACCCATCGGTCGTTGAAAGTAGGTATTTTGGGGTTCCCAGATTCCAATCTACTTTCAGCGCCTTCCTACTTCAAGAGTCGATTGGTTTTCCCTCTTCCTTCCTCCTCAGGAGGCGGGCGGAAACCCAATCTATTTCCAACGCCGTCCTACTTCATGTTTCTACCTACTCCTTCCGACCGATGGGTATCAGTTTCGGAGGCTTTGGGGGCTTTGGCGGACGCCTTTCTCAGTGGCAGTTTTGTGTCCGTTTCCATCCCCTGGGGGCGCATTGTTTCTGTTCCCCCCCCCCGTGCTTGAGTTTCGTTATGTTTCCGTTGCCAGGTTTCTGAAAAGCGCAAGTTTGATAGCGGAACACATACGCCCTGACCGCTTGGAGAGACATTCTGGGAGGGACGCGAGGCGGAAGATAAGGATATGGAGCCGTGGACAGGACGAGGAGGAGAGGGGAAGAGGGAGAGTGAGGGAGAGGAAGAGACGGCCCAGGGGGGGATGGGGATACGGGGATGGGCCCCACCGCACCGCCAGCCTGCCGAACGCAGCTGGGGCCCGGCTCGCTCGTGCAGTGCACGGTGGACCTGCAGGAGAGGCTCTTGGCGGCGGCGGACCAGCAGGCGTCCTGAGTCCTGGCCAGCCCTTCGTCATCATCGTCGGCGGCGTTTCCTCACGCGGAGGACGAGGAGCTGGAAGGAGGAGCAAAGAGTCGATGCACCGCCGACGTTGCCGATGCATCGTGGATGCATCGTCCATGCACTGGCGATGCGGCGCGATCCTCCGACCCCGTCTCTTCGGACCCCCGTGCCGGGGAGCCTCTGAACGCTGCTGCTGCAATCTGCAGTAAAAGGTGAAGACGAGTGTGCGCGGCGCTGAAGCGAGAGCCACATTTGAAAGACGCCCGCCCTCCATCCGAGAGCCTGCTGCAAGTGTTAAGCTCAAGGGTCATGAGTGGTGATGGAGTCTCGGGCGAAGCGCACGGGCCGCCCTACGGACACGCCTCGTGCTGTGCGGCAGGCCGAGACTTGCGGCCGCGGCTCGCTCGCCGAGGCTCCCGGGACGCCCAGAGGCCCCACCGGTAGAGACCTCCGGGGGCGACCTTCGCGCGCGGACCTCCGCGGGGAGCTCCGGGAGCCTCCAGTTTGGCATCGCTCGGACGTGTGCATGTTTCCTTCGGCGGGGACCATCGAGGAGCATCCTTGATTATTTGGCAAAAATCCACGCACGAGACCGGAAGAAACCACAGGGAATGGACGTCCGAGCGATGGCCAGCCAGAGCCTCAGCCTCGGCCGAGGGGCGCTCCTCGTGGAGCGGCTGGCCGTTCGGCTCGGGCAGGCTTGCCCGCATGCCAGTTCTCCAGGCGCTCGGTCTGGGGGCCGTCCCAGAATTGAGTCGGGCATGTCCCTCTCGAGGAGGAACTGTCA